TGAAAGTGCAAACTATAAAGTTCTTGATCCCCTTTCTGGCACAAATAGACTCACTTCAGTTATTGCAGCAATATCCCTAAAGACTAAATAACCTTAATCTTCATATCTGAAATTATATCAAAATACTTGACAGAGTTTCAAGTAGTCATTATAGACTTAATGTCATTTACGATCAAATTTTATAATGGAATTGGAAGTTTGGGGCTTTTACTACAGTTAATTAACATGACATGTGTCTCGCTCGGATTAATGATAGGATCTACATATCTATCCCAGGAGAGAGATAATGGACCAGATGGTGGAGGAAGCTGTTACCGACCAGCAGTTATGTGAACCACCCAACTGCGACGAGGAGTCCAGTAATCCTCTCGCACATAACCATGGGGTGACGAGCGTATTCCTAACAATCTCCACATTTACCCTGCGAACCTACACAGACTGACATAGTGTAAGTAATAAGAGGTGCGATGCCAAGCTTATTCCGCTCACAGGCTTAGCTCGATGAGCCACACCACTGCTAATTTGAAGTTAGACAATTCAGCAATTAAATATATCAAATGGTTAGAATGCATATTAACTTTTTGCTTAGGTCTGCGAAGTTCACTCAAACAGTCAAATGGCTTTAGCAGTTTCACTTTTTAGTTTATCGCTTGCTCCACACAATGCTGCAATGTTACCAGTCCCAATTTGACATACCGTGTTCGTGCCTACATCTTGCCACACAATAATTCCACCGCGAAGGCATACCGTACCGGTAGTCCAATGATACGGTACCGTACCGCTAGTCTACCCTTACTGCCTTACCATATTAATTAAAAGTCCAAGTCTTGGTACGGTACGGTACCGGTACCGTCCTTGTAATTACCACCAAAACAATTGCCAGAGTAGCCTAATTTGAACCAGAAGAATGTTAAATCTCTTATTTTCTGTCTACTGCCATTCTCTACGCTGCCCATGCCGTCAAGGACTGGATTAGCATTAACAGATTAATGCTGTAATGGGCCACATACCGGTACCGTACTCACTACGGTACGTGGTACCGGTACCGTACCTATTACCGTATCCTGACATATGCAGGTACATTCAGGCTACATGCTAAACTTAAGATCCTTAAAATGTTCGTACGGTACCGATGTAACTGACACCATGCCCTTCACTTTCTCAAACGTCGCCATCCCTATTCTGCACCACAATTCGACCGCATTTTGCCATCCCTAATCTGCCACTACGCTTCGACCGCATTTTGCCATCCCTAATCTGCCACCACGCTTCGACCGCATTTTGCCATCCCTAATCTGCCACCATTCGACCGCATTTCGCCATCCCTAATCTGCCACGCTTCGACCGCATTTCGCCATCCCCAATTTGACTTTTCGTCCCTATTTCGCCATCCCTAATCTGCCACCTTTCGACCGTATTTCGCCATCCCCAATATGACTTTTATGCTACCACCACTATAGGATTGTTTCGATTAGTTTCCAGCCAATGGACCTTTGACCTTTATTGTTTTGATTTTGGTCGCTCAGACAAACATTGCAAATATTCAGGCTTGTGTAGGGCGATAGAGTGGTACGTTGCTCGTTTTAAAGGCCTTCGAATGGCATTTCACTGGTGATGGCGGTATTTTCGTGCTTCTGAAGTTATAACATATTGTCAAGTGATCTATTATTAACGTTATTCCGCCTTTACATTGCCGTTACCGTACCTAACTTAGTTCCAAAAACTTATTAAACATACAAAAATGGATTCACCCAGAGATGACTTTTCTATGACTTGGTTCTCCAAGAACTTTTCTTTCCACCAGCTGGAGAAGGATACAAAACTTTTCATTGAAAGCTGATATTTAAACTTATATGGTTGAAGAATGTCAGAGGACTGGGAGACCTGCGTGACAACCGGTACCGTATCCCATGGTTCATAGACTAATAGATAGCGTCCAAGTTAGGACTGAATTGGTGGGTTTAGTATAGATACAAATGAAATGCAGGGGCAGTTTAAAAAGTCTTTTGAATACATTCTTGGAAACATTGCACAAACTACAGCAATATGTAATTAGACTATGAACAGATGAATATTTTCTTCAGATACATTCATGATGGTTCAGTCGCCAATCTTGGTTCAACGCTAGATTTCAAAGCCAAGTGCTATAGATAAGTTCAGGATTCTCTGCCACCACATCATCTTCAAATAGTGGTGTCGCTGAACCTCTACATACTAGGCACGGTGAGGCACTTAAGTTTATGCTGTATCATAGAAACACAGATTTATTAGCTCAGTTTATTTATTTATTAGCTCTAACAGATGAAATTGATGGGAATAAAAAGAACCATGAAAACAATGGGACGTCAAAATAATAGAATTAAACTCATTTCACAATTCCATTCACAGACATAATGTATCACAATGATTTTACTGCTGAGTTATTTTATTGAAGCTGCCTGGTTTCGTCTGCTGATAATATGGAAGAATTGCGCTCACTGAGCACTACCTCATTGTTGAATAGTCAGCCCATAGTCAGGTGGGCAAAAACCCACCACTTGGTTCGGTTCTAAAGTTATCAGGTGATTATGAACAAGTTGTAATTTATATGACAGTGATAAAAGCAAAACAACCTAACAAAATAAGGATATTTATCACACACCACAGCTTGGTGTGACTTTGCAGTCCGCACAAAAAATGATATTGCAATCACCAATGTCATACTGGACATGGCATGCATGCGAAGCATCCTCCATAAAGTAACATCATTTTATCACCAATGGATTGTAAAAGATTCTGCATGAAGTACCAAGTCTTCAATATTAATTTTCCTTCTTTATTCGTCATTTTTACAGTTAGCAAATATGACACCGATGCTGGAAGAAGTATGTGTTTTCTCATTTTGAATTACGTTAAAAGTGTTGCCCAATTCTGAATCTTGTTAACTCTTTTGTGCCCTTTTATTATTATTATTTCTTTTTCTGGTAAGTAGCCGCGTACTTCTTGAAAGCTATTTTAAGTTATGCTCGACTTCCAGTTTTCTCTGCATTTTGTTTGTATGTTGACTTTTTGTGTTGTTTTATGCCAGAGAACCAAAATAAAATGATGATGATGCTTACTTAAATTTTTCTGCTGTCTGACAAAGCGCTGTAATTTTCATCAGCGGCACTTGAGGTAGTTTCAACTAAAGAGTCTGGGGGCAGATCTGGTTGGATCCCTGACATTCCTTTCTCAATTTCGCATGTCTCTGTATCAAATGAAGTATCTGGTGACAGATCCTGTTAAATTATGATCCAAAGTTAAATTATGGCATAAGTAATCCTTACCTCACAATTTTATGATGCTTTTTTGTTGGGCGATAAGAATCTTGATATAGGGTCAGGGTATTCATCAGTTGGTCCATCGCCTCCATGAAAATGCATGATGGAACGCATTGCTTGTATGAAAATTTATTTCATATAAGAATTAACATATTGAATATAGACTATCATAGGTATCGAAAACAATATTTATGTTGGCCTACCTTGGTACACACGTATGTATTTCTGGTGATTTTTCCTAGATTGAATTGACTGTGAGGCCTGTTTCATTCCTTTATCCACATCATTGCTTTTTAGCGGTCAATATGTGGCTTCGGAAATAGTACAAATCTTACTTCATTTGAACGGCAGGGGAACCGTACAGGTTGTCAGACCGGCAAAGACCATATGCGCAGCGATTAAACATAGTTAGTCTACCAAAATAATTCACTAGTAGATTCTGTTTAATGAAATGCAACGTCGTATCGAAGGCGAAATATCAGTTGGTTGACCTGTACGGTACGGTACCGGTACCCTGTAAGGTGCCTGTAACGAGTACAGCCTTTTAGTATAGTTATATAGATTTCGTGAACGAGATTTGCAACAAGTAACATACAGTATTACAGCTTTCTAATTCTCGCAGCCCTGTGAAGAAGACAAAAAAGGGGAAAAAAGAACAAAGATCTGCCTAAACCCCCAGCAACCCTTGCAGAACGCGTCCAAAGTTGTCTGAGCGACTTTTCATCGGAGAATGTTTGTTTACATCTGCTCGCTTGTGATTGGTTGAAAATACGGATGTTTTGATGTCGGGGAAAGGTCCTATCCTATTTACCAATCCTATAGTTTGTGTCGAATACAACGGCGCTAACCCAGGTTGCGACGGCTATTCAAACACAGCCTAGCGATATTTTGGTGAGGAATGTTGCAACCCCGAACCTGATTGAGGGATATGGACATTGCTTAAACTTTAATTAAGGAGTAATTATAATTAACGAGATACGATCTCGCGGCGTGTATCCTTCGCTCTGACTCAATAGCGTGGAAAATTACTCGAAGGAAACTTGCGCATCGCGACGACGTCAAAGTTACGAGAGAGATATGGACAATGCTTAAAGATTAATCACGAGATACGATCTAGCGGTGTGTATCCTTCGCTCTGACTCACTAGCGTGAAAACTTGCGCATCTGATACGCACACACACATTCAGCGCGTCTCGAAAATCTCTCGCTTTGTAAAAATCCAGATCTCTTTATCACCAATTAATTAATAACTCGCTAATTATACGACATAATTCATCCAAAATCAATAGGCTTCTGGTCCGAGATATGATGAATGCACATGCAAATTTTTGGAGCAGATTCAACCACGCCTTCGTGAGATATCGCGTGCATTTAACAGACAAATACCTATCAACATACTTACCGATTAAAATCGAAAGTAACAAATAGAAGCAAAACTGGTCCGACCAGTGTCAGTAATATCAGAATTTTTTTAGTAGTGTTTTACGTTTCCTGGAAGTGCCTCATAAGATACTTAAGCATGCATAATATATAAAGCAAGTAGCGACAACCATAATTCCGAGACGATTTACCGCATCGTTATACGATGAAATTAATATCCTGCTAAGGAGGCATCTTTCGGTGTGCAAAAAATGAAATGCGGCTGGCTTCTGAAAATCTGGCTGCTTTTGGTTTTCCAGTCATACATTGAAAAACAAGTAATGAGAGTTCCTAGTTTAATGAAAACGCATCTCAAAAAAGTTTCGCGATAAAAACTGTGTAATGATATACCGCAGTCGCCGCCAAACAGATTGAACAAGGGAAGCGCTTAAGCAATTTTACTACTACTACAGCAAACGTGTTGGGACCTGCGAACAGAACGCTGTGTATGATTGCCCGTTGTTGTTGCTCGTTTTGAGGCAAAAAGGGTAAATGTGAGCTGTGAATTGTTATGCGATGTTTGTAAAATGTTTTGCCAAGAAGGGAGAGAGTCCGCGAAGTTCACTCGTTGGGATACGCTGCACAAGATTTTGAAGTAGAACATCTTTGTAAAGTTGATCTTTCGGACTATGAATTTGAGTGCACAATGGTAGTCGTGCCACTAATTGCACCACGTGTATTAAAATCGTGTGGGTCGAGATTATGAAGAAAATTACAGAATCTCTCTTCGTGGTCGGGGAGGGATTAAAACAACCACCACCAAAGTGTTGAACAAAAACGCACCTGCGACTTTGAAATGGCTAGTTACCGTATATTCATACCCGGCAGGACGCATTGAGATAGGTCAAGTCAAGTTTATTTTATCCAAAGAGTTAGTCAGTTTTACACATAGGATTTACATATTTCTCCCGATGAGACGGTCGAATCATATGACATACCACCACATGGACATCGCCGTTACCGGCTGGGGCTACGTGAACCAGCCAGTGGTGTGGGATTCAGCCGGTTCTATAGAACCGTCTCACGGAATTTTATGAGATCAGCGCATCTGTTAGCATTACTGGTAACTGTCAATGACTTTTTGTCACGGAACCGGGTGACAGACAAATATGAATTTTGTGATGGAACCGACTGACAAAAAAATTAAATTCCATACTGGAACCAGCCCACGGCGACGAGGAGTCCATCAATCCTTTCGCATATAATTATCCCTCACTGTATTCGGACCTGCGAACTCACGTAGGGTAATCAGAAGTGCGGTGGCGATCGTAAACGCTTAGCACGATGGCCACATCGTGATTACATTACATGTCCACCATATAGAAAAGGTGTTCAATAGGACTTCCCCTTTACCAGAGTATGAAAATCTTCACATCGTTTAGCTCTTCTCTGATCACACTTTAAAAAAAAAAAACATCTACCACTTTCAATTAATGAAAAACAAGCGAGCTAGTTATATTGAAATGAGTTGCATGAAATATCATTCTCCACCACAAGTCTCATTTCCCGAAATTCTTACTCAATTTACACTTGGCATCCTTCTTATTCAATCTTCTTTTGAATAGTTGCAAGATTAATTTCACCATGGATCAGCTAAGTCTGTTTGATCAAAATATCGCCCAACGATACAAATAATTAGGTTCAAACCATTCAAACTTGTTTTATCTTGTGGATCCTGTAAAGAAAAATATTGTAAATTAAGCATAATTTTCCTATTTCATATCGACTGAATGAAGTTTAGAGAATGCCCGAATGGTGTATGATTACCTAGTGTTTAGGTGGCGCCTAGACCTAACTATATTGGCGACGCCGGTTAAAATCCTAATGGAAATGCTGAATCAGGAAGATTTGTGTTGTTTCCAAAAATGGTAGCAACTTATGTGTCAGTGGTTACCTGCCTAGAGATTTGTTCAGGAAGAAGGCCATTACATTTATTAAATAAATGCAACAAGAAGCTTGGTTTGTTTGACTCGCAGACAGGTATAAAAATATATAACTAGCACAAAGTGTTTTAGCTAAGTATGATTACCTTGTCTGAAATAGTAAATGAATTTAAACAGAAGGTGTTGTTGCTGTTATGAAAGTAGCTTTTTTCTGCCAGAATCAAGTTGCCACAAGGCTAATTTTCCCATTTTTTGTGTTTTATGCCTTTATGCCTATTATATATTCGAGTATAGCTCTCATGTATTACAGAAGCATATCAATTTATTTATAGATTCATAGTTCCAATTAAAAAGACATTGGTTCAGCTGTGTGGGGCATAATGCTAAGCGTGCTCGTCACCGCACCTTTGACTACCCTGGGAGGATTCCCAGGTTTGAATCCTGCGAGTTATGGTTATGTGTGAGAGGATTGCTAGACTCTTCGCCACTGCAGAATGGTTCACATAACCGCTGGTCGGTTACATCTTCCACCACCATCCACACATCTGAAACAAATAACTGACTAACTAATCCCATACCTGACATGGACTGGTAACTGGGCGAGAGGCCGTGGTTCGCCATATGTTTAAGCCACCTTATCTGCTATGTGAATCCTATCCTAAAGGAAGTACTGCTACTGCAAGTTTTTCTTTAAATCTTTCTAAAAATCAGCATTTAAATTATATCTTAATTTGAATAGAAGAGAGGGTTATTCGACTTGAACCAGAATAAAAGTCGCTTTGTCTTTTTTCTCTGAATTAAAAAAAAAGTTCTTACCAATCTGGATCTTAATTCCTTACATTTTCTGCTCAGTTCTCTCAAAACAGAGATGACTGTTGGAAACAGAGGTTTTTCAAGGCAAGATAATAAAGCATACATCCACCTGGTAACATAACATATAAAATGTACGCTGTAAAACTTTGATTTTAAGTATTATGAAATAAAAAGCATTGTGCAAAATTACATATAGTACATTTGGTAATTTCCCAGAGTTTGTATTTAAATACGACCTAAAGGAGTCCCCGCTTTTGAATTAAATAAGATTGCCGGATCAAAATAAACATACAGTCTGAATTAGGCACTGAAGGATGAACATTTGGGAATCAAGACACCAATTAGACACCAACAGCTATTCAGCTGATGATGATATGATGATTATCTTCTGAAACATAAGTTTTGCTCACATTCAGTTTAGACCAGTGGTTCACAAACTTTTTAGAGTTGGGACCCACTATTTATTACCACAGCTTATGGCGACCCATTTAATTTTTATGACATAACACAGCAATGGCTAATCATCGCAAAACTACCGTGTTTCCTCGAAAATAAGACCTGGCCTGAAAATAAGACATAATTTGAATTTTAAAAATGATTTTATTTAAACCCTACCCTTAACATAAATTCAAAATGTGTGGGAGAGGAAAGGTTCAATAACCTGAGGTAAGGTGGAGATCACACCACTATTCAAGATTTTTTTATAGGAAATACAAATAAAAACAACAGATGTCGGTTTCTATATAATGTTTATTAAAAAATCTCGTGCTTTTCTACAATGTAATTTTATTTTTAATGTATGAACACAAAAGACCTCTTCCAAAAAAAAAAAAAAAAACATAGTGTTATACTTCAAAAGAAAATAAATCTAAATCCTATCTAAATTTCAGGGAAAACGGTAAGAAGTGCTGTACAGTGTACAAAACTGCCATGGGTAAAAAAAAGTCACATGGTCATTCTTTGTGTAGCAAATTTTTGTTCCTTTGAGAAGATCGTAAAAAGGAAACTTTCACAGATTAGAACTTAAATTCAATTTAATTTTTTTTTTGAAGATTTACGTAGTCGCCATCAATCCTAATAACCAGTATATTTAATCAAAGCTTTCTACATCTTTTCACGACCCACTAAAATTCCTTTTGCGACCCATAGTTTGGGAACCGCTGGTTTAGACTAATAAATATACAAGACGAGTAAAAAAGTTCCTTCAGGAAAGCAATCTTGAAAAAAATGGCCAGATTCTAAACTGGCCTATGCCATCACAATGCTAACATGTTTAAAAATTCAGTCTACCTTCCCTGTTCATGGCTGAAACCATCTTCCTCCATCCATCGTGTATGGTACTCCAGATTTGCTTCAACTTGATTAGAATCCATTCGTAGAAGTATTCTCATCATTGGTGGGAATCCTTCCTATGGAGCCCACAATAAAAAAAATATGTGCATTGATTTTAGTCTTTAAAATACTGTAAGTAAATATGGAGTAAAATGAGAATCACACTTCTTGACTCAAAATGACAACCCAATTGAAAGCACCCTTAGGTGAGATATACATGGGTTACATTTCTTGAATTAATCAATAAAATAAAACTTCAGCCAATATCATAAGTCAATGTATACTAGTATACAAAATGAGAATTACAGTAGGGTGAAAACCAAAAATTTTTGCTATTGAAAACTTAGTAATCCTGATCAGTGGCCCCCAAGTCCAACCTTTTCCAAATTATTGTTCAATCTTTAAATAATACTTAGCTAGTGTTACACATAACTCAAACTCTGGATTTTGAAAAGTTGAATAGTTCGTTTTTCAAACTAATTTAAGAGCAAAAAGGTGAAAATCATTTAAAATGAGCAAGCTGTGCTGGAAGCATGACTAATCACTAATCCATAAATCTAATGCACACTATCAACCAACACTGGGTTCAGTTGTGGCCTATAATCCCCAATATGAATGATGTTTAAACCAACCTCAAGAGTGGATAAATCAACTGTCCTATCTTCTTCGCTATTAATTTGATCAGCAAGTATATCAGCAGTTGTTCGTCCTCCAGCAATTAAGGCATTCTGTAGATTGTCATCTTCATCTGACTCTTTTGCATGAGCACCTGTGGGTTTATAAATAGCAAAATATAAACCAGGAAAATTAGAAAATAAGTGGCCTACTAGAATCCTTAACAGATTCATTCTAAAAACTGAAAAATATACAATTAGTGCCAAATACATTTGAAAGACTAATTAAATTGAATGAAGGTGTGACAAATATTTGAATAATGGGACTGCATACGATCATTCTGAATAAACTCCACATGTTCAAATCTTTTATTGGGTGATCTTAATGAAAGGATTGTTCTCATTGCGGGTAGCGTAATGCAAAACATAGGTGAGTTCCATTCATGCATCTGGGAGTTGGTTACCTATTCCTATACCTGGCTCAGACTCAAAATCAAATAAAAGATGGTGATTTGCTATATGATTAGGATGTCTTATTGACTTTCTCTTTCTCGAAAAAATGTGAAATCTTATTTATATCTCAGATTTAACAATCATATTGTATTATAGGACTATTATATGAGAAAAAAACCTTGAGATATTGTGTTCTCATTATTGTCTTCATCAGTTTCCTGTTTCTTTCGTTTTAGATTTCTTCCAAAACACAGAAATTTCCAGCTTTCCTCATCTTCCCAAGGAGGCTGAATATATCAAATAATAATACAGAAAATAAGATATATAATGATCTACATCAGGGTTGGGCAAGGTTTTTGGACTGGGGGCCAAAAATTGTGCCCACCTTGACTGGCGGGCCATGTAAGTGTGACGTAAAGTTACATTTTATGAACAATATTTACAGTGTTACAAAAGTAAAAGTGGAAAACAAAAAGCATCGTGCCAAAACCAAATTTGAAAGCAATCTTAACAAATTCCTTGAGCTATTTTTAACTTAATCATGGAATTTCAGTTTCAGACGAGCCAGATTGAATTAACGAGTCAGATTCGGCCCGCGGGCTGTAGTTTGCCCATGCCAAGTCTATATAATATGATGAACAATGCACAACATATTATTAAGTATGCTCCAGACTGAGATTGAGATCGAAACCATTCAGTTGAGAACTATTCTGAGTGAAAATTTGTGGTTAAAAGACAAATAAAACAACCAAATTGAAGGAAATTTTTTTTATTGCTTGAAGAGTTTTAGCATGATTAAACATTGATTGCAGATGTGCCTAAATCACCAACATCATTTTACCAGATATGAAAATCAGCAAGTAGAATAGAGGAGTCACAACATTTTGTCATATTCTATACATCTAACAGCTATTCAAATGGTCAGACTTACCTTAAAAATGAATCTAAAATAATCGAACAAGGCATAAGTTTGGCTAATAAAGTCTGACACTATCATGAAATATTGGAAACAAATTTTTCTCACCAATGGATAAATTGGCAGTTTTGGCCTCTTTTTTGTTTGACGACTGATAGATTTTAATTTGGCAAGATGTCTGATATATTCTTCCCTTGTTGTTGCGAAATCTACTAATTGTTGTTCCTGCCATTCTTTACTTGGGATCAAATCAGATCTTACTTCAGTTACTTGTTCACTTAGCTGTGTAACAATTGAAAAAAAGTAAAAAATATCATAATAAATTCACCAATAAGAAGAATTGAATCACCATAAAAAGACAGGTGGATAAACATTGAGCAAATCCCTAAACCATCTTATAAACACACTAATCTCGCTTCTTCTTATTTTATCGCGCAACTTCATTTTATTGTATTTTTACCGATTTTGAGGGACAACAATGTCCAGATGTCCCCGAAGGGAGGGGTGTCCCTTCAACGACAAAATGGGATTCTGTGGAATGAGACAATGTCGCTCGATCTGTAAACATTTCAATAAGTCTAACATTAACAATTACAACTGCAATATCATTTGGCCAATACAAAAAATTCTTTCAAATTTACTAGTTAAGAATTTAAAAAAATTCTGGACATGGTTTAATTATAACAAATTATAATAAATCATGGAGGAACTTACATATTTTGAAGGTATCGCTGGCTTCAGTTTTGGTTTAATTTTACTTGGATCTATTTTTGCAACCACAACATTTGGTGTATTCCTGGCTTGTTGCCTGTAAAACAATAAATTTAGCAAAAGCCATACATTGGAATTATATTTTTACTTTCTAAATAATAATGCACAATAAAATAGAACATGGCTGCGTAATAGCCCAATGGTCACAAAACGTTAAAAACTCACATAACCCCTCTTAAATATTCTTGGGGATTGCTAGGAAGTTTGTCCATTGGTACAATTTCTCCATCTTCGATTTCATCAAAATCAACTTTGAAGAAAGGTGTTGCTCCAGGGACAGCGTCATCAATTTCTTCTTCGTGCAAACTTTCGCCTGTAACGCTTATCAGAGATGCCATTGAGCAACTATATTCCGTGAATAATGGCAGAAAGTTTCAAAAAAGATGAAGCTCGAGAATGCGTAGCCTATACGAAGACTGCAAGTGCAAGACAACACTGCACAATAAGTTTGACTAATGGTTTGACAAACTTGGGGGAATTCCCCTTGTAAATGAATGACGAACGATTGATGTCGAAGGTCAAGGAGCAGCAAATGAGATATCACGATAAATAGTTTCAATGCAAATAATATCTTCCAAGATTACATTTGGTCTTATATATCATTGTCTGAATTAATTTGCTTGCCGCACGTACCAGGTGAAAGTTTTCGCGACAATGCCCGGAATGAGTAAAAAGGAATGTTGAAGCATATATATAGAAATGAAATACTTAAGAATGAATACAGAATAGACAGATTTGATGCTGTCGTGGGCGGTGGCTGTGGATCGACTACGCTATTTATATTTCGTTTGAAGCGTTGCAAATTTGCACACAATTTGCAAGCTGAACACATTATGTAGCTTAATGCGATTCAAAAATTGTTATATGCTGCCCCGAGTTCATATTTTACCCATTAATCGTGTATGACGAACATTTGCTGTAGAAATCATACAAACGACAAACAAATAAAGCATGTTATCATACAAATGTTGTCGCTCTACGAGAGGTTAGTGTAAACATACCGCCAAATTTAGATAGGCACTCTCCAAAACACGTGTAACCGTAAATGGAACACAAATAACAAACCCGCAGCCTGATATTAACATCAAATTTCATTTTGCTTTTAAATGGAAGCTGTCTTACTTTTGCATTCATTACTCTGTGAGATGATTAATAAACAGCAACAGTCATGGAGGGCACTGAAAACTTTATATTGGAGGGCAGCGGTCAGTATTTTTATAGTGTATTTTGCATATGAAAACCAAGGCTAGAAAAAACACATTTTTCTGCGCAGTAAAGTTTCTGATAACTAAGAGATTTACCAAAAAGTCCACAAATATTGATTGAAACTTAGAAATTAAAAAGTTGGCGTGTACAATACCCCAACCACCAAAATCATTGCGTTTTCTCGATGATCGAGGTGAAATTTTCCAGGTTTGTTGCTTGTGTAAATATTTACATGTTGCTTTTCAGTACTGACTTTCGAAAGTTTGTTTTTAATTTCTTTGGCAGAAAAGCCTTCAGAAAGTCAATTGTAATAGACACGTTTGAAACACTTAATCTTAGATTAAGTAGAAGTATTTCAAATTGTATGCATGAAACAATTTCCACTATTAAATCAATTAAAATTCGTCATCGATATTCAAAGCAAGCTAGCTGGCATTTTCTTTATTGAGTTGCGTCAATTCGTCCTCTTTTAGGTTATTTCGAATATTCTACTGATGGCATACTTGAATATGATGATCACTTAGTCTGTACATACGTTGACGAGTTTGGTTACATGGTCGAAGTTAAATGTGAAAAGAATACGATGAAATGTTGTTCCTCGTCCACTTCAGAATCGATATCTTACTATTATTGTTGCAAAAGAAAGGACTTGGTTTCGTGAGTGCTAATATTCTGAACTGTTTCGAAGAATTGGGCCGTTTAACTAAATCAAATTCTTCACAAGTATTCCTGATTGGTTTCAGAGAACCCATAAATCAGATTCGATGGTCAATGGCATAATCAAAATCGAATCTAACCTAATTATGAATTTGGTAAGCAAATTTGCAATTTACACCACAAGCGTGTAAAGAAAACCCAGAATAAATATTAGATGACATTTGGCTCTGAATATTCGAAAACGTAAACGTTAATGACACACTCTGAAATAATTTAAAAAAATATTTGTTTAGATTTAGAACATACCTGATTGGTGTGATTCATTTAAAAACAAACTGATGTATTTTTTTTAATCTTAACTCGTTACCTAACTTTGCGAGTTATATAATGTACATTTGGATAATGATATATTTTAGACTAATTACAGTCAACTTTACTTCAGACTGATATTCATACTTTTTTTCACAGGAGCGATATTGTTATCGCAATCAGTGCTGTGGCTGTTATGTTATTCATATTGGCATCTGTTTGCTTCGTTTATTGTGTTTTGTCTGTTCCAGTTTGGTATGAACGAATTAGGAGAGGAAATCGAACACAATCAGGTTCGAATAAAATACTCTTTTTACATAACATGGTAAGACTTCATAGATGCATTACCATATCCCAACAATGAATGCAGTTAGTTTCAAAATTGTAACGAAATTCATTACATCACATTTTCGTCATTATTTAATGTTTGAAATGGACAAGTACATTCATACCCTCACTGAAAAATTTTTGAATTAAATTTGTTGTCAACATTTGCGGACATTTCTCATTCAAAATTGTGAGAGCAATACTTATCAAACGCTCTTTATGTGTAATTTGACGATTTCTTTGTTCGTGCCAGAATTCGCCAACAACTTGGAATTGCAGTCGCTTCACACCCGGGATGAATTTTTGACATCAACAAGTGACAGCCCGACCGAGACCAATCATCATTTCGGTGGGTGACAAAAGTCTGCTTCGGAGAGTTGCGGGAGCTGTTGTATCAATAGTAATTGGTACGTTGATGGGTATTTAACTTCTATAAGCATCCTTCAAAAACAAAGCAATTACAACTGGTAGGAAGTGTGAAGAACAATAACAAACATTATATATTTTAACGATTGATAGGCCATAGTTTATTATTCATTTCCTCAAGGCTGATGCATATTGCTAGATGCGAAGAACTATACATTGTCAACAATTAGGCTAAAAGTCTATTTATGCGTTTGTTATTCATATACCTGATACTATCAGCGTTCCTTGGCACACACGAAAAAAACTCAAGCTGCAGGAAATAAATATTGTTTTTTATTTTCAAAATAATTTTTCGAAGAATGTTGAACATTTATATACACAAGAGCTTAAGTTAAACCCGGTAGGTGAAGATAATTATAGCCATTCTATTCCCGGAAAAGATGAGGTTTCTTGAAATTGAGAGTGAAGCTCTGAGGTGGAACTTATATTCGAGCAAGGCTCTTTAACAGAAAATTTATGAACTAACAACTTGTGTATTTGCTTACCGACCGGACAGAAAATATAGCGCGTGTTGGTGATAACTTCTCTGTCGGGTTTCATTATTTCAAAACAAAATCGTGTGTGTGATAAGAGTTGTATGGTACTTAAAGTTCAGTTCAAAGAAATTTTATGCTCCAGGTCGTGATAGGCTATTTAATATCTACTAGGGCAGGGCTACTCAACTGGTGGACCGCGGTCCAGATCCGGATCCTTTGAATATTTGTTTCGGACCGCACTTGCTTCTTTCTTTTGGAGTATTGGCGCCATGAAAGTTGGATATGCGGAAGTTTTCTTTTATTAAATACCTTTTATTTATAGTTTTAGAGTTAGTTTCATCATTTCTCATACTTGCACCAAACTATATACGAGGAAAACTGTGATGCCATAATAAACTGACCAGGTTAGCGAATAATCACCAGCCGGGGAACTACTATTTTCAAAGATGTCTTCATATATATATTTTGCGACTACTCAATTTAACATGAATTGCTTTTTCGTTAACTCACTGACCTCGAAGTTAAAGGCAGTTTTCAGGCTTACTGTAAAATAAATTTTCTAAAAAGACTGGACTCCGCAAATTTTGAAGTTTTGTATCTTGAAGTAAAAATAGTTGAGTAGAACCGATCTAGGGGAAACGACACAAGAGCAGGAATGTAAGTTTCAGAACTTCGAAGCGAATCAAATTAACATCTACCGTATTTCCCGGCAAATAAGTCGCTTTTCTAGACCCAAATTTTTGACCTGATGTTGAGGGGTCGTCTTATCAGGCGAGTATGGTAATTTTCATTTTTTTGGTGTCGCTTTATTATGTATTAGGTAATGTTCTTTTTATGGGGGACGTAATCGCGAGTTGAACACAATAAGATTAAAAATTTAAATAAAATTTGAATTCCCATAGTTAAAGAAAACGTCATTATATAGTGATTTGATTTCCACAAAAATACTTGTTTGAATTTTGAGAAAAATTAACTTTGTTTTCATATTCTTAATAGTAAATGGGGGTAAAACTCTGAAATTAGGGTGAACTCATGAGGGTTATTGATAAATTATCTCCCCATCTTACTAACTGGAAGTTTAAAAGATTTGGCACCCTAATAAAGTGAAAATATTCAGAAAAATACTATACACAATGCTAAAATTAATGATATAAGTAAAAAAAACATTTACATGTATATGATCTAAAATGATACGAGACATTGAAATAAAGAAGAGGTTATAGAAAAGGGTAAAAGTTTTAAAGTAGAATTACAGAAGGATGGCGTATTTTTATTTCAAAACTTTGGTTTTGTACGGTTAAAACATATTTTCAATTCAATGTACTTCGCTACGCTAAAATACCTATGCTCGCATTATCTCATTGTTACGATTTTGTCGACCGATTTGTTACGATTTAGTCTATATGTGTGTCCCATGTCGGGCAGAATAAGCGCATTGCGACCTAGTTGGCCTATATATCTGTCCAATGTCGGGCAGAATAAGCGCGTTGTGACCTAGTTGGTCTATATATTTGTCCCATGTCGGGATGGAAAAACGCATTTTTAAGTTTATGCCATCTCAGGGCTTTTTTGAAAAAATAACGCTTTTGGATACAATTTTTGTTTAAACGAGCTCATTATTTCACCGTTCTATTTGACGGCATTGTAAATGAATAAAAGCATGACTCGCTCGAATCTACTTTTAGAAAGCATTTTAATAATAACGAAATCTATTATTCGAAAAAGGGATGCTAACCGCAAATTTTCAATAATATAAATCTATTGAAAGGTATTTGAAATTGGAATATATATATATTCAAAGTATGTTACTCTCAATTAATTCATAAGAATTGAAAACCGAATGAAACGCCATATATATATATAATATATATAAGAAGTAAAGAACTTTACCTTAGTAATAGTGGAAGAATGAAAAATGCCTGTCTCAATGAGCAGAAAAACCTGCAAATCGTGAAACAAATTGCAAACTAACGTGCTCCTGAGCTGTATATCCATTAGGTATGCGCGAAAATTTCTCTATTGTTCGGAATAGAGCGCGTAATTTTCTATATATATTTATAGACTATTTTAATTAACTAATGCGCAAACGCGGCGACCGCTCAAAAGGCATTGCATGGTAATTTGAGATTCCGATGTTGACGCGATTTTACTACCCCGACTTATTGGTAGGTTATATGCAAAAATTCATTTTTTCAGACTAAAAAAACGGGCCTCGTCTTATTTACCGGGTAGACTTATTCGTCGGGAAATACGGTATTTGAAGCAATTTCAGTAAAGAAGAGCTTGATTCTATATTGAAAATAATAATAATTTAGATGACACGACGCCGCGACGTTGTCTTGATATCGGACCCTATTAGACATTAGCATAAAAAAACAGTTTTCCTAATTCGTAACACTTCCGGGGTTGTTATGTTTGGGTTTTTTATATCTCATATCAGTCACAGTTTTAGAGGAACCAACGGTCTCTCTCACTTTTTTGCGACGATTCAAAATTTTAAGAAGTTTACAAATATGTATTTATATTAACTTTTCTTTAAATTATCTATATATATAATATCATTATAATACCAATATTATTCATTATCAAAAATCTGTCTGCGATGCTTCCACTGGAATCATTTCTTTCTTTTGAAATCGTGGCGCAAACTGTACTAACGCACATTTCTCTTGCGTTTATCATTTGGATAAATTTTCAAGGTCAATTTTAGTAGAAACGATCACTCTACATTCTTTGTAAACATAGATTTATGTGATAAATAAATATAAAGTAAATATGTAATCGAAAATTAATTTTCTCCGCCCTAATGTAGGCCTATATTGTAGTTGATGCATTCATTCGATGTGCTTATTAATTCTTCAAGTTTATTATCGTTGTTTATTCACAATTTATACTATTGTTCTTCCAAATTTAGATAAAAAATTGACGATAATATGTTATACTCAATGAAATGAGATTTGGGAAAAATTCGAATCTGAACATTTCGATTCGAAAATTATATTCTTGCCAGAGTGTTGCTATTAAATGGATCTACCAGTAGCGCCGATAATTTAAAGCACACATCTTCCTATAATCTATCTCATTTTGAAACGTCTTCGTCTGGTGTCTTTTGAGTCTAGTGTGGGGATGTACGGTACGTAGTTTATTAGACCAGTGATTTTTAACAGGTGTTCCTCCCGTGGAACACTGGTGTTACGTGAAAGACATTGCGGTGTAGCACATCTTTCCATTTTATTCAGAAACTTCTGTGTTTGAGTCTAGTGTGGAAATGCACGGTACGTAGTTTATTAAACCAGTGATTTTTATCCGGTGTTCCGTGGAACACTGGTGTTAGGATAGGATTTACATATTTATCCGGGGGGGGGGGGGGGGGGGGGGGATCTGGGGTGAACCACGGCCTCGCGTCCGGCTACCAATCCATGTCGGGTATGGGATTAGTTATTTGTTTTGGAAAGTATGGACTTGATGGTGGAGGAAGCCGTAACCGACCAGCGGTTATTACGTGAGGAGGCGAGGAGTCCAGCAATCCTCTCGCACATGACCATCCCCGCATGAGTCAAATTATTGTCTAATTTTTCTGATTGTCATATTTCATGATATAAAATAATACAAATTGAGAATTAAAGTAAAGACGAGTCTGTTACGTAATAACGAAAATCAACTTTGCGAATACACTTCGACTTTTTGTGATTAAAAAAGAAAAACAGACACCTAAAAACGCTTATTTCGGAATAATCTAAAAAATTTATTTGGTTTTCACAATAAAATGTAATATAAAAAGTGGTCCGCGGTTCAAAAAAGTTGAAAATTGCTGGTTTACACAATATTCAGATTACTGATACCGCACGCAATTACTGTTGTAAATTCTAGCTACTGTATATGCAGAAAACGTCTATTTATTTTTCTATCAAAATCGGTGTACTTCTATTATATTGTTGCTGAGAGACAAGTTGCTTGCGAAAAATGTTGGCACTTGGCTTGAACGCGTTCACTCCAACCCACAAGAAAAATAAACTCCAGGACAATAAAAATGACACAAACTCCCGCGCCCATTTCACAGGTAGACCAGATGTTTACCATCTCCCGGAGATAAATATGAAAATGCTACCACTCCTACACTAGAAAAAAAATACTTACATATACACAAGCCCGCTTAAAACTTCACTAGCCATGTACAGCCCACAAAATATACAGTACGATACTTTTTTGTTTTGACTACTAATGATGCCCGGCAGATTGTACACATATTCTTGCAAAATTGATTATATTCTGCTTACAAAGTTTAGTGCTATTTTGATTTACCAAAATACATGCATCTCATGCAATACAACATTATAAAAATATCACTGGCAAGGTCTCAAGCAAATTCGTCCACATATAAATAATATAAGCAAACAAGATAAACATAAATTCAATTTCAATGAAGGCTTTCAGATTAGGCTACTTTTTATGCATAGAAATTTGCAAACGGACAGGGACATACATAATAATAATAATATAGTCGAATCAGGATTAGACAATGCTGCCAGAAGTTTATACTGCGAGTTTACAATGCAATTTTCAAATGCTTACATCTTTACAATACATGCATTGAAATATACAAAATATGTAACATTACGGTGGTAGATGCCCCACAAAAAAAAAATGAAATGGGCACATCTATGTATTTTGAATATTCAAATTATGTAACATCATTAAGGTCGTAGATGTCACACACACACACAAAAATGAAAGGGCACATAATTCATATAAATATTAGTTGGAACTAGTTGAGCATTAGAAATGCCAAATCGTCCAGAACTCGAACTTTTGTGGAACCAACTTCTCTGCCGCAAAATTTTGAATACCGCAATTCATTTCAAAAGAATATAGCAGGGATGGAAAAACTCTTTTACTTTTATCATAAAGAAGAAAGGGGTCATAGATTCAGCCAATGTCTGCATCATTGACAAACTTGCTGTTTCTGCATTGTGCAGTTTCAAGCTTTACGCATGGAGCAATGTGGCAATTTTTGGCTCTCCATTTTATGTTATTCATGTTTCCAACAGCTGAATTGCAGTAATATATAAACCACTTACTAACAGTTGTAGCATACAGGTAGTGTAGGAAGTATCGTAGTTCACTAGTTACGTACTAGCAGACCTCGTTACGAATATTTTCATCACTGAAATGAATAATTTGTGACTTGACAGGTCGTTTTGTGACCTGTGGGATAGTGACTCGCCATCCCTGTACTATAGTCTTTTTATAATCATACACTGATATGACTTTGAAAAATTAAGAAGCATTAGATATAACAATACGCTTAGAAAAAATCTTTTATCATAAACTTGCCTACTCAAGAACCACGAGAGTGGCAAAACTTCGAGAAATTGTCAGGCATTTTTTCAATCGAAATATTATAGATAAAATTTGATTGAAACTCAAAACCACTTTTTCACCAAATAATTCTTTGAGGATCATTAATGTCAGGCCACACAATCTCCTTTGTAAAGAAAACATAGAGAGTAAAGGCATTGATTAGGAAGTACAACAGAAACTCCAGAACTACCTGATACATTTCTGTCACACGAATATTTACTCGAAACAGTATGTAAGGGATAATGAAATAACGCACCTCAATTAACTTTTGCGGAACCGTAACAGCACATATACAAATTAACAATACAAGCTTCCATATTCCCAAACATCTAGGACTATCTAATCGTTGATTCATGGCCCAGCCAGCATAAATATACAATGGAACTAGCAAGAGACGAAACAGTGGATATTTTAAAACATATCGACATAGGTAAAAGGTATAGTGACGATTGTCCGAAAGTACAAAAATGTGAATGTGCGTGTATTTAATGATCAATAGGATACAGATTAGAGCAAATGTCATAAATTTCAACGGATTTTTCACTACAGCGGCAAAAAAGTTTCTGATCTGTGACAAAGAAATCAAGAAAGGAGAACTGAAAAATAAAGCGAATCCAAAAAAGTATAACAACTGTGGAGCATGGAGAGAAACCTCATGATTGAGTTTGTCTCCAAGTACAATACCCCCATTGATCAATATGAACATAGCAAATGATGCTAGTACAAACAAATATGGCCAAACCAGCTTGAGAATTCGTAGGAAATTGTCGATAACGAGAAGGTATTTGATAGCAGCTGATACGATCCCCACAAGAAACCTGTTGCAAAAAATTAATATCAAACATCAAAAATATCTTTAAAATTTTTATTTATCTTGAATGATATCAAAAACAACTTTTATTTGTTGATTCATTCCTGATCCATTTTCAGATTAGTTATTAAACATCTTGGTTTAATAATAAATAATTGAGAGTTTATTTTTAGTATTTTCACAACATGGCCTACCTCATACTGCAGTCATTGTTTTCAGAGTTTACACCTGTTGTCTGCCAAGCTATATTAAAATTAGTCTTGACAGCTATGCCTAACAGCAGATCCATTGAATATATATATAAGCTATTAAATTATTTGTTACAAAGTCATACAAACAAACTTAAAGTGAACATTGGGGCCACTCGAAATGAGATAATGGATCATACTTGGCCCAAAAACAGTGTTTGGCATATGTAAACTCTAACTACAAAATTGTTCAACATAAAAAATCGTAAAAAGAAATAAGGGACTCACCGCACGAGTTTATCTTTAATATCTGGTGATGTTTCTATTTTTTCTATAGAATCTGCTTTCACCATTTCCCTTACTGCAGTACAACCAGCTAAGAACAACACCCATACAATATTCGTCTGTCTGAAGAAAACTGAAAACAATCCCAGAAAAGCAGAAGTCTTGTGCATTGATTTTAGATTTGCCAAATACGCAGCAAGTACAAACAGTGTTGACCCAGGATCAGTGTAGTATAGAAATGAAAAGAAGTAATTTACTGGAAACATTGATATTGTCAAAGCTTGTATCTTCATCATTGCATACTCCTTCTGAGGTGCATTGTTTCCCTGCAATAATGAAGATTTGATAACGATGCTACTCTTTCTAGTGCAAAATTCCAACCACAACTGTATATTCAGGTGGCTTTAATTGCAATGGAATCTCGTATTTGAGTATATATAAACTTCCTGTATTCACCATTTCAGTAAACAAATACTGAAATCACAAATTAATGAATGAAGAGACATGCCTACGTCAAAATTTCCGGTCTCAAAATTCCTTTTTTAGAACTGAGATCTAGAGAATTTTTGAATCCTGTAATCAGAAAACAGAGGTAACATTTTTATCAATTGGAGTTTTGGAATACCCCAGTGGTTAGGAATCAAATGTAACCTTTCTACACCCAGATTCATTATAACCAGTATTAAATTCACGAAAAAACATACTACAAACCTCATAATTTGTTTGTTTTGTACTTGAAATTTCCTTCATGATATAGTAGATTAGGAGCATATTTATAGCATTAAAAATCACATTGACAGTTCTTAATGTCAGTACAGTGCAATATAGATGTTGAGAGAGTATTAAAAATGGAACTTGAAGAAGTAGCGATGCTAAATAAAGGCCAGGTGGAGTTGTGATCTTGTCATTCCACTGAAAATGAAACAAAATGGCTGAATTGTACAAAACAGGTATAGAAGGATGTGATATAGTTTGGATTATTGTGTTACTGAAATCAGAGATCTAAAATTTGCAAATATAATTTTGCAAACTATCCAGCAACTTTTAGGGTTAAATATAATACTGTTCTTATTTATTAGAATTGGGTTTGGATTGAAGCTTTCATTTTATTTTCATACATCAAAAAATATATATAACTTATCCATATGACACAGAATTTCAAAAATATGCGGCAGTTTTGTACTAGACATACATTTTGTTCTAGATCACATGAATTGATAATCATGAAATTGCCTATAAACAACAAAAAGTTTCTAAAATACAGCAACCCAAATGCTAATTCAAGAAATTTAATGTCTAACAATGCTTTTTTCCTTATACTATAGGCTTGCAGTCAAGAAGTCCTAGTATTCAGTTTTGGGAAGCTCACAAAATGTTTTGTGTTTCACATGTGATTTTGAGAGAGATGTGGGGTTTTCAAATTCAATCATTAGTATTAAGATATTTTGAGCTTACTAGTGGGAAATACAAGTATTTTTGCAATGAATGACTGAATAGGTACGGTAAGCATAAAAATTAATTTTTGGGGTGTAGAAGTTACCTCAGAAAACGATCCGTTGCAGTAATGTTGAGCTTGTGGTATGTGAAAGATTTCATCAATGAATGGAGCAGGCAGAATCTGACAAACTGCTTGCAATATAGCAGCACTGCAAAGAACATATAATCCCACATGCAATAGCATTTTTCTATTTCAGTATTTACTGATTTAGCTAGCTATCTACTCTAAATCTACTGTAAAGAATAAAAAATGTTCACACTACAGCACTGGGCAGAGTTCCGTATTAAAAGAATTTGATTAGGCTTGGCTTGGGGCAGCCAAATAGTTATAAGCCAACCAGACGGCAAAACAGTAGTGAAGGGTTGCACAACTCAAATGACGATACGTGCGAAATAATTCAAAATAATCTTGCCGCGTGTCAGTCACGTTCGCATTGTATTGTAAACGAACTTCCGTGAACCACATGACAACAAGCTTCAATGAAACACAGAATACCTATTTTTCCAACCTTCAAAGTGCAATTGATTATTTACACAGAAAACGACAATTTACAGAAAGTAGTTTTAAAAAATTACAATTTTTTTGTTCTTATTTTGACCCGGTATGTTAGTCGTTGTTTTGACCCAACTATGGATATACCTCAAGCTAGCAAAAGAATACTTAAACAAAAACTTCAGTGATCAAGAAGTATAATATGAAGAAGGTCGCATTTATCTAGAAAAATGAGAGTTGCAATATTTCTGCATTTCTCAAAATTCTAAAGCAAAGTGTTTAATGTGTCACATTTCCATTAGTACTATGAAAGAATAAAATATAAGTATAAGTTATCAAAATATATCAGAAACTGCGGCCCTTGTATGATTCCCAAAATGCAATATGGCCCTCGAAAACCCACGAGTTTTACACCCCTGTCCTATAAAGTCAACCACGGTAATGTAGTGGTACACAAGCAGATAAGGGTGAATCGGAAATGTTGGCTTTCAAAATAGAAAGAATTGAATCAAGTCAAGCACAAGGAATTCTGCTTCCATTCGACAAACACTGAAAGGGATAGTCGGTCATCCACGAGTCTTGAAATTCCCGAGTGGTTTCACCACAGTCAGTGCGAATATAAATGTGCATATATATATATAAAAACAAGATTATTTAGGTTTATTATGATATAAACGTAGGTTATCAGAATTTAATATGAATACAAGAATTATTTTTTACCGGACCGGTCGCGTGCTACGTCGAGCATACGGCAAGCCCTATTGGGCACGCATGTCCTATAATGTGGTGCTATGAATCCCTACACTAGTGCGTCAGAAATCAGAATCTGAAAAAGACTCTCTGTATTTGACCGCAACCGCTTAATGTAGTCACGAGTTTAGTTGGTTATGCGCACAAGGAGGCTGAGGAAAAGGCAACACACTTGATACGAAAATTCGCTATTGCGCCTATTCAACATTATAAAGCTCAGGCTATGCATAAAGATGCAATACAATCCTATTTATGTTATTTGTCATTTTAAATTACGTCACTGAAGTCTTTATCTGATAATTCAATGTGCAAATTCTTCATGCATTGGTAACGCAGTCAAGCGCGTAATTGTATCTATATGCAACTTATTTTAAAAAATACGGGTGCGGAAATAGAGTACGGTAGATTCATAAACATGTTTTAGTATTTTAATATGAGTCAGCTAACAGTCGTGAATGACCGAGTTCAATTGACATAGATATATTGTGTTGCGGCATATGGTATGATTTTAAATTATCAGTTATTTGGTTTCCACGCGGTCTACAAGAGTTTCCACCAGCAAAAAGCAGCTGGGGTATGTGCTTAAGGATGTTTCCCTTAACATCGATTTTCGTATTTATATCTATAACAATGGCCAATCAGCAAAAAGTAAATGATGACGTCACATTTGCGCACCCACGTTATTTTACTCTTTCATTTTTTAGAAAACTGATGATTGTTCAGGCACAAACTTTATTTAAAGGTGAGATGCAGCACCCGGGTCAGGTAGGGTCATTGGTATTGAGCATGTCGATATCGGCCATTTTCTTCGGTAGTGGTATCGGCTAATTGTAAATAACAATATTATTTTTCCTGCTTAGAAGAATCATGTTCGCGATATATGCATCGTTAACTCATGAACTTTTTTTCTTTTCTTTTTTTTTCCTTTTTTTTCGGAGTTGCTCTCTTGTGTATTCTAAAATCATTAGTATATAGCCAAACCGTTGAGTTTTCTAATCGAACAAGGAGATTCCTAGCGACCGTGGGCAACGAACGTCTGCAGAAACTAGACCCATATCTGTATACGTACAAAGTAACAAAGCAATTCACGATACAATTATTTTAACCTTTATTAGTGAGTTCAGTGGCACGCCATTAATTCATCTGTGTCACAAACATCAATTTCTCATGTTCTGAAGTATCAGTTTGTCAAGCTGAAATAATGTGCGATGTAAATAATCAACCGTATTATCATAATATGTTCATTGTTCAGTACACTTAAATACAGCGTTTCCCCGTTAAAATCGGTATCAATGAAAAAAAATGGTGTCGGGTAGCCTACATCACTAGTGGGTATTCGGAGTCTCACTGTCAGTCAAAATTCCACTGGCGCTTAATTGAGTACGTGTTCTAGTCAATAATTCAAGCATTTCAGATACTGGTTAATATACATTTCAACGTTAATACACATTATAGGTTCTCATGTTCATACCGCTGAGCAATCAGATCATCAAAATCATGAAGCCCAAGCGGCCAGTACAATTTTAGATAAATTGCCCACACAGCATGGAATTGAAGCTGCATGCATTGTTGGTTTATCCAAATTATTGTTGCTATGGGTATTGTTGTCCGTGTATGGTTTAGGTAGTTAAATAAAGTGGGTCATCATTGTTCTATTGGTTCATCCTTTGAAATGATGAATGGAGTTATCAGGTTTGGAGCGACCACCAACTGCACATATCCATCTATAGTAAAGTTAAGGTAAATTTTTAGTTGTTAATGCTTGTTTTATCGCTGAGAGGCTAGGCTATTACTTTTATTTATTTTAAAATTTCTCAGGATATGAAGATCGGGGGGAATTGTGGTAAAATATTTCGTTTCGGCTCTCTTGCCCATATATTTGAGCATTGCTCTCTTGTTTTCCTTGCGATACGAAACCTTCTTCACTGAAGAATCGGCCATTCAAAACGAAATTTGTAATATCCTACGCCCATCAAATATCAACGTAATAAAAAACAACGGCATAACTAACGTGGCGACAGAAGGTCACTGAAATTACCCTTTTAGACTCAGAACCAAAATTTAATCGAATTCCTGAAAGTTGCTCAAATTTATGCGTTCCCGTGATTATGCTACAAGAATTGTTTATTTTGTTGATTTAAATACAGTTATATCAATATAACACTGTTTACTTGTAGGGGCGTATGTCGACTATAACACATATTTGTATGTTTTTACATCTTAGTTAGAATGTCGTGCGAATTGACGAAACGCTTTCACGATCGGAACCTGAAAAGTGTGATTCATTACCATACTTGTCAAACACTCGATTTAACGACGGGAGATAAATTGCCTACTGAGGAAACGTAACTTCCTCTCTTCGATATGCAAGCTGTTACGCTGGCAGAAAAATAACGAAACACAAAATTTCTCGAGGACCGGCAGTTGACAACTACTGAATCATCAACGGCCAATATCATTTTTGGTCGATTCCTGTTGCAATGGACTTGTTAAAACTGGAGTCTCACAAACTGATCGAAACAATGTAAACTTGTTTGCGACAACATGAATATTAGCCATATTACATGCGATATATATATATATATATAAATAGGTTTATAACATTCCAGTTCGCTCCAGTTTATTAATTGCTCACTATTAGCTCCGTTCGCCTTGCCGCTTTAGTATTCTAATTTGTGACAGCCCCCAGAAGATATGATTATATCATAGAGAGATTCGTTGAAAATATATAGTTTAATTTCTTCCTAGAAAAATAAACATGATAAATGTAAAATTCGATAACATACGTTAAACATTCAAAATACGCTGACGCAGCAGCAATCTTGTGGGAGGAAGAAAATAGGTATGCAGATGATACATTCATTTACCAGCTCCTAGATCCCAATTTCGCAGACCTTGTTGTTGACGTATATGAATCCAATTGAAATATATTCGAGTTTTCAGATGATATATATATTTCCAAAATTAGGCATTCACTTATTTTCATCAATTGTCAGTAAAAGAAGACAAGCACCAGAAAGCTTCCGTAAACCTTCAGTCAGTTGTTTTACTTCGATTGATCAGTCGACTCCTCTCCGTTGTCACGTGCGTTTCGCCAGCTAATAGATTAGAAGCTGTTGGCCCTTTGTTGCAACAGCCCGATCCCAATAAGGACAACAAAACGGGTGTACATAAACCAGTCACAAGCATTGATAACTCGAAAATATTTTGACCGTAATAGTTGATGGCGCAATATCTTTCCCATAGATCAAACCCAAAGAGGCCAGCATTGTAGATCGCGAAATAGAACGCCACGGATGTTATCTTATTCGCATTACCCTCTAGAGTTGATAGAATTTCCAGTAATGTTATCATACAAAACATCCACGAAAATGAAATTATAATTTGGAAAGGAATCAGTACGGCATAAATCTTTAAAATGTAACCTAAGTAGATGCCGGCACAACTTACCGCAGCAGCAGAGGATGCTGAAAAAAAAAATTTATGTTAATAAAATAGCATTTTAATTAGTGATAAGAACGTGTGATTTAACGCAGATGAATGTATCGAAACTAGCTATACATAGCTCTCTGTATGAATTTGTGAACACTCTTGGTCAAATACATCAGGCGGAAAACCGTGTTTCAAAGTATATGTATACATGTACTATTTGCATCCCATTTAATCACTATTTACTGAAAATGTCATTGTTTTATAGCCATGGCTATGACCTGTTTGTAAGTATTCTTCTTCTTGTGCCGAGCTCGTTTCAGTGGAATTGGATCAATGGAGTTCTATTCACATTCAGCAAGTGGCACTGCGATTATTCGTATTGCTACTTTCACTTCTTACATTTTACCTCGAGTGCAATTACGCCCAGGTACAATTATATTTGAGTACAGGGATAGGCTACAGATGCAACGTGTATGCAGTTGATGCGTTTCATAATGCTAATTTGTAGTAGTCAAATTTAAAAGGTACGACAAAAACTCACCAAGTAATGCTATTTCCTTCAACGCTCGGAATCGAAGCAAAACGATCGCAACTGTAACTGATCCAGCAAAACCTGATATCATAGTTAATATATGCGTATATGTGATCACACTTACTCCGACATTGGGAAAATTCTTCCAGAGCATTCCTGGTACTCTTAGCAGAGTATAAATTTGTATAGGTGTTCCCATAAAGTTAGCCAAACAGATTAGGACAAAATCCCTTCGACAAATGTCTCGCATGTCATCTCTGAGCCATTCGATATAATACTTTGAATCGGTAGACTCCTGCTCTTCGGAGGAAGCGTCATCTTTATCGTCATTTTCCTCGTTTCCCTTCGATTTTATTAATCTGGTATTCAGACAAAGTAAAACGGCGGCCCCAAATGCAAGTAAAGATATGACACCGAAGCCTCTAACAAATGCTTGCCGGATGGATTCCGCGGTCCAGAATCCAGGATCACTTTCATAGCACATCGTGCAATTACGTATTAAATATTGGAAAGCGCTTTCTGAAATTATTCCCCCGACATATAGGCATCCGAACGGTATTGAAAAAATAACTGGACTGTACATAGCATCAAATAGCTTGTTGAATAATAGCAGCGGAAGAAGAAGTAATAATCCAAATGAAATTCCAGATGATGCTACTCCAAGAATTACCATCCAGTAGGTTCGTCTGAAAAATAGAAACTAATTCAATGCTTGACATATTATATTGATATACGGGACCAATTGCTTCGAAATTTTCAGTGGTCGAAGATTGTATTCACTAGAAGGCTATTTCTTCTATTTATTTCAAAAATGTCTGTAGACTCTATGCCATGGGATTTGCGTTAGTCGTGATGTTTGCGGTGCGTTTTTCTCTCGTTTCCATATATTTGAGCATCGCTCTCTTGTTAAAGTAACGCTTACCTACAGTAAAGATCATATGGGTTGATTTTGAGAGCCAAAGTAAATGCACAATGCGTTACAAATATTATAGGATGTCGCAGAAATAGAAATTTAAACTTTTGTGAATGAATCACTTAGATCAGGGGTCTCAAACTCAATTTACCTGGGGGCCGCCGAGACGGAGCCTTAGTGAGTCCGGGCCGCATCCGGTTTTTCACAATAAAAGCATTCATTAAACCTAAAAAGTTAAATCTTTTCCCATGTTTTTCTATACGCAAAACATGTTAAAAATATAAATGTAAGTAATTCCGCGACGGACCTTTCCCCAAGCATCTACTTCCTTGTTTATTCCGTAACATTGGCTAATCAACAAGATGCAAAAATGGCGTAACAATAGACTTTTTCGCAAACGCTCAGACACTTGTCACTCAGAAAGATTTTCAGGCATGTTTGTAAACATTACCTCGTTTTTGCATGCTATTTGTTAGTTTTGGGCTGTGTTTCAGAAATTCAAGTATGGATCAAAGAACTCAATGATCATTCTGATTGCTTGGGCGTCGTAGCTTAATTGCCGTAATCAAAAATTAGTCTAGAAATAGCTGTGATAGACTAGGCTAAACTTCTCTACCGGTACCGTACTGTTGAAAAACAGGTTGTTGAATGTTTTGAATCAAAATGATGACGTGAAACACATACCCCAGTTTATAGGCTTCAACTCGCGAAGCCACCTCTAAAATAAGCACCAAGAACTTGCAATGGTAAGGTATAAAAAAATTTCTTCGGGGTCACAGGTCCATCGAATATCATGCCTACAGGTACGGTACTAGTAGGTTACCGTACCGCATATTCCTTTCGGGGGACAGATTATAAAATAATTTGTTTTGCTCTACTTGTCCTGATCATATATTAAATGCATCAATCATTCTAACTGAGCTGAGTGACTTACGGGCCGCACTGCACCGCATATTAAACTTTCACACCAAGGCGGGGGCCGCAAACTGTCGTCCTGCGGGCCGCAACTGGCCCGCGGGCCGCGAGTTTGAGACCCCTGACTTAGATAGACTATAAGATTTCTTAAGGGTAGGATTGGACTCTAGTGACTTCCTTGAAACTAAGCCAATGTATATGTATACATACTTGCCCAGGAATCCTATTGTTGCACAAGAAGATCCAATGAACAGACATGTGCCGGCCACAATAGATATACACCTCAAACTCGTCTTTTGGCCAATACAAAGAACAAGAAAACATGCTACAAATGCTGTCAGACAACCCAACGTCCCCAGCAAGTCAGTTTCTTCTGCGCTTCTGTCGAAATATTCCGCAACAACATCGTTGACAATTACAAATCCAGTTGATATGTACATATACGCAAAAAAGCAAGCTCCGATTATAGCCAACAAATACCACCTTTCTCCACAAATGCTTGGAGCATTTTCTGGCCTATCTTCTAAAATCACCATTCTGGAAATCTTCGGTATGCAATGACTTAAAAAATTACATTGTAATACTGCATCATATATAATATATATTTTTCTAAAGTTTTAATCAGAGTATGTACAAATTTTGGGTGCTCCCGAAGTATGTGCATCAAGATGGCGCACAACCTGAATAAAGTATGTGTACCAGGTTAGGGTTATCAGGTTGTGCGCCATTTTGGTGCACATACTTCTGGACCGCCAATTTTTTATACAGTCTGTATATACCATTCAGTGTTAAACGTTATTTCTATGGAATATTTACGTTGGGAGCCATTACATGAATATAAATCATATCAAATATTTAGTGCACTTATGGCGTTCACTCTGATCTGAATATACGCAATGCCGCGCCCGCATCTTAAATATCCATTCCCCTGATAAATATTTTCCCATGTGCATCCTCAATTAGCGTTCCTAAATCTTTCAAAAAATACACAGTAAGTTTCCTATTATTTAATTGATACGCACCCTGCCCCAAAAGTACGGTAAACACTGCTAATATTTTGACAAATGCTGCAGCTATATAAAAATATATACTGCGTTCAAGCAAGTAAATTATATATATAGCTATTTCTTACCTGCTTGAAAAATGACGTTGACTGCTTTTCTAGTCTAGAGGCTTTCAACGCCAGGCGCTCACCTGTCAATAAAAGCATCTTTGAGAGTCTCAGGAAAACTGCATTCGTCTTTACCGGAAACACATAAAACGTGAAGTGATGCATCTTGATGGCGTCAGGCAGTCGAAGTAATGTTAATAGGAAATCCATCAGACGCATTTATTTCCTGATAATTACCAATAAAATGTCTTACTTTGTAATTATGGCTTCGCGTAGACCAAATAAATGTCAAACTTAAGATGGTTGAGCATAAAAACCTGCCTAAAATTGTCGTCACGATACTAATGTAATAAAATAGAATCACAAGATACATATACTTCAAGAAGGTAGAAAGTTTCAAATTTTACTCTATTGTGAAATATTGAACAGGATCACTATCACGTACGCATATTAGTGCCGCGAAAAGTGTGACTACTGTTGCTGTTTTCTAACAAAAATAGTAAGATTAATATACAATTAATTAAAACTGTGAAAACTAATTGAAACTCAGTATAAAAAAAAACGCGAGATGGACATGCTTTGATAGACTAGATCAGGGGTGTGCAACCTTTTTTACATGCGGGCCAAATAAAGGTAACTGGGTGAATCCGCGGGCCGCACCTAGAAACTCCATCTACGAAAGTCTCTGTATACAAAAAATTTGTAGTTTTTATCCGCTATTTCTCTTTTTTTTTTTTTTCTTATCATGTGTACCTTGAAGAATTTTCTACCTGCGAAGTGGTTTCCGTAATTTGAACGAAATTAATTTGTCCCAAGCCCCTCCGTAAGTAGAAAATTCCGTAATTATAGACGCTCTTTATCTGAAAATGCAATAATCCGTTTCAAGCCCCCACAAAACTCGGACATACTGTTTGACTGGGTTAAGCAAAGACCGTGGAGAGTGGGAGAATGGCGACCGGAGGAGGTATGGGAAGGCGTTGAAAATTGAATTCTAAAAAGAACGTAATGTACGAAAATGAGCACACGCACATTAAATTCAAAATAAGAATTCAGTCTTTTTACTTTGCAGTTTTATTCGTTTTATTTTTCTTTAGTTTTAACTGTTACGCGTATCGTAGTCTTCTCAACTGAAACTGAATGAGACTTATTGTGAATGTACTTATTGTCCGCGGGAAACGAACGGGCCAATGGTATGGCAGGTAGTTTATTGGTGTGTGCCAAGGCAGGTACCACAGACTTTAATTTTCATATTGCTCACGGCATCATTCGTTGATTTAGAAAAACGCAAATGTAATTACGTAGCATCGTGATTATCAAATGAGTGAACCTGATTCCCAAATTACCATGTGCCAATAAAAGAGAACTAAGACCGGGAATCTTCTTTTATTTTGAGAGTCGGCGCTGATTTTTATATTTCATGTCGGCTGTTATGATTTTATTTTTGATTATAAATTAATACTGTCAACCTAAACTGCGCCGCGATAGATACTATATAATATTTAAGAGCTATTTTATACGCTCTAAATTGCAAGAAATGACTTTCATGCCGACTGTAATTTACTGCCGTGCCGCATACGACTGCCGTCGATTACAATAAAAAATAAAATAATTGTAAAATGTTATCAAATCCAAACGTTGACGGCGGCGCTAGGATATATGCGCCATATTCGGTATTCTTACAAACACGAAAAACGATACTCGAAGTTCGCGATATTCGAATAATAAATTCGAATTTGGCATCCGTGCTTCAAGCACTGCATTGAATTCACCTAAAATAAATAAATATCACTACACGCATTTTTTGTTTTCGTTCGTGGAAAATCTTACGTTAGTCAATATATTTTCACAAAAAGAATTCTCCGAGTTGGATTTTTCTCATGTAGAGCCTTTCCTAGGTAGATTTTCTACTGTAGAAGCAAGCACAACTGTAATTGTTACAAGCACTGTAATTTTGATATTGATCTTACGGCATTGATCGGGGACCTGGCAGGAATGTTGAGTTAAAACGCAAAAGTTTCTAAAGAAAGCTATTTCAATTTATTGTCACACCGACTTTAATCGAATTCAGTAAGAAGAAAACAAGTTTTAATAACATTGTGTATTTTCTAACAGGATCTTTCTAGTTAGTTTCATCGATATGGCAGTGGCATTCGGATACTGGTATAGGTTTTGTGGCGCAAGGAGACTGAAATTGCTCGCACGTTCCAGATTAATTATTAAACTAAAAGCCCGCTTCGTGGGCACATCACTAAAAATTGACACTTCTCCACGGGCCGCACAGTTATTCTTTGCGGGGCGCATTTGGCCCGCGGGCCGCAGTTTGCATTTAGGGATAAATTCGTTATTTCAAGTAAAATTTATAAAAAGACTGAAAATTGCTTATTTCGAAATTCTCCAAATTCATATATTAGATTGATAAAGGGCCCGTTGTAATTATACAACAGATGCCAACCAAAAATATAATTGGATCGATGACACCAGATGCTAATTAGTATTCCAACCCGAATCGATAACCTTAATGGAATCGATATCACCATACGAGCATACGTATATAAGGTTGCAATTGGAATTTTTAAAGAAAGGTATTGAAGAAGTCATGTATTGAGAGGTCTTGTATTAGGAGTCGAATCGTCTTGATAAGTGTCGTCTCGTTTCTCGGTGTCGTCATGTCTTAACAATCTTCTGTATTCTGTGTCTACAACATTAAACTACATCTACAACTTTCAACACTGTACTTCATTGGCTAAAATGGTGATCCCGAACAAAGAATAGCAAATCTTCTGATGTGGAGTCGAAATCGCTAAAGGTGACCCAACAAAACAACAACAACGGTAAAGATGGTACAGCAATAAAGGTATCACCGCACGAGAGAACAAAGGTACGGAATCGGAAAAGAATCAGACGACGAAGGATACGAAGACGAAGGATAAAGACCAAGTCCACACAATGAACTTTTGTTTAAATTCAAAAATACAAGGTGAAAAATTGTATCAGGCTAAATTAAACTGATGGTATAATACAACGAACGATAACTTTTAAAAAAGTACGAAGGAAGCGCACGCTTGTAGATATTTTTAAAGATCACAGCAAAAAATGATCGAGCAAGACAATAGAATGAAAATATTATTCAACAATTTGTTTTACTTTCTTATATATACATACGATTTTTTCTTACTGGGACATTTATCATACTACTTCTTTTCTCAATGTATAGTCCTTTCTTCAACTTCTTTGGCGATATTAATTAGGATCTCAATTTCTATGAATTGCTTGGAAACAGAGTTTGAGTGTTTACTCAAATTGCAACTAATCTTATGGTCAATTGATTATGGAAGCAAGGTGAATATTCAATTTCAAAATTCTTGTGATTTATAATAATTGAAAATTGACGGATGTAAACGATTTCGATTAGATAGATTTCATCAACACTGAACTATTTTGAAAAAAGATGATTCAAACGAGTCACTCTTTTGAGCGTTTATAACATCGTCATAAGAACGGTGCATAAATGAGCTAATCAATATATACGTTAAACACGAGTATATGACAATTTTTTTTAACAAAAAAGCGCTATTTTTTTCTTTTTTTTCAAAGCCCGAAGCTGGCATTATCAACATATCGCAGCAAGCGAACTTACAAAGCGCTATTTATTCAAACACATGAGCTATCAGTAATTCAGTGTGACGAAGTATATTGAATTGAAAGATCAGTTTTATCTGTCGAAATCAAATTTAAAAAACAATAAATCGCCTTTTCTTTTCTAATCTACACTCTTACTGTCATCCTACTTCCCTCTCATTATTAAATCTTCTCGTCCCATATTTTTGATTTTCATTATGTATATCTTTCAATTGTGTTTTTTTGTCATTTTCAATGTTTTTTTTTTTTAATTTACGTATGTTAGGTGACAAATATGCCCAAAACCCCGATTTCCAATCTAAAGGGCGTAGATATATTTAGGGATAAATTCGTTATTTCAAGTAAAATTTATAAAAAGACTTAAAATTGCTTATTTCGAAATTCTCCAAATTCATATATTAGATCGATAAAGGGCCCGTTGTAATTATACAACAGATGCCAACCAAAAATATAATTGGATCGATGACACCAGATGCTAATTAGTATTCCAACCCGAATCGATAACCCTAATGGAATCGATATCACCATACAAGCATACGGATATAAGGTTTCAATTGGATTTTTAAAAGAAAGGTATTGAAGAAGTCATGTATTGAGAGGTCTTGTATTAGGAGTCGAATCGTCTTGATAAGTGTCGTCTCGTTTCTCGGTGTCGTCATGTCTTAACAATCTTCTGTATTCTGTGTCTACAACATTAAACTACATCTACAACTTTCAACACTGTACTTCATTGGCTAAATGCACACCCCTGGACTAGATGAACGTTTTGGTTTAATTATTATTCTCAACAGTGATATCCTCTCGGCAATTTGAATAAACTCAAAATCGAAAGTCAAAAATTATTTTTAACGATGATTACAGTTTTTTCCATGACTTCCGGCAACCAATGCCAGCTAATGTTTCTATTCTGCAATATATCATTGATTGATCTTGCCGACCACTTCCGGTCAAAACCGTTGAGGACAGTATCGATTTTACTGCTAATATTGGTTTGAATGCAAGACGTGTAGCAGCAAATTTCATGGAAATATAGATTGAATATTGAAAACTTAGAAAACTGAGCTACAGATATAAGAGATTTTTTATTAGCACAAAAAAGTAAGGCGATTTCGTTGTAGACAGATTGAAAATGTAACATCACGGTTAATCAATCAATTAAACAACCAGAGAGCCAGAACATCTATTCGCATCAAAATTGCCAGACTTCTAGATGTAGATTCAGTTTTCGCGTGCAGACAGTTATTGGTGCTTTGAACCTTTCATGGTTGAAGTTGCTGCGTGGCTTTTTGTTTTCAAGAAAAATTAACTGAAATATATTGTAATATCGCGGACTTTCAGTAAACTTGTTAAACATCACATTGCATGCAAAAACTACGTTTGTTTATTTCTGCCGCAAGCTTTGAATAAATTTTCATATATATATATATATAAAATATTCATTTATCCAGAGTATTCAGATTTTGACAAATACAACACAATCGCGAAGATAACAATAAAAAATATGAATTGTTTCATATTGATGATTTTGATCAACTTGGTCAGTTGTCAGCATAAAGAATCGATCCAAATTCCAAACGATGGTAACAAATGTAACGTAGTTAACGTTCATTTTGGAGAAAGTCAGTCGTCTTCTAACGAAGGTACGCGTATTGCGGGTCCCCCGGGTAAGCGAGGACCAGCTGGAGAAACAGGACCGATGGGACCCCGGGGACCGAAGGTAAAATGAAAGTTTGTTGATATATACTTCTTATATATAATACATAGGTTTAGACGGGAAACGTAATAAAGATCAAAATTAATAAATTCCAACATTGAATATTCACATACAATGTAAATAAAGCTACGTTGAAGCTGCATTTTAGTGCCCGTCCATTGTAAATATTTCAATTTGAGGAAATTCTGTGCGATAAGGTAAAATGTTTCAACGTATAAATACATACTCTAATAACTTTTAAAAATTATTTATATGCTACATTTTAATGAAAATATCACGACATAGTAGAATGAATTTCTAAAGTTTTAAAATTGTACATATGATAATTTTATTTCTATGATGTGCAGTTTTGAAAAGATTGAGAATGGTAGCCTATAATAGCAGATTCCGATATGACGGCTTTATCACTACATATGAAAAAAAATAGGATTTCTCTGACATCAATTTGCTTTATAATTAAAAAAAATGCTTCATAGGGAAATCCAGGAAAAGAAGGAAAGCCAGCTGACAGTGCTAAAGCAGAAACCGACATCTTGAATATACTAAGTATGTAGATTTAGATACATCCAATCTATATCAAATACTCGATTTTCAAAAACAAATTGTATTTTTTAGTGTCAAAAAGTTGTCAAGAACTGGAGCAAGTTCATGGTATTAAAAAAAGCGGGCACTACATTATGAGAAGTATGCTATCTGCGTCACCTATTTACCAATATTGTGATTTTAAAGTCCATGAAGGTATTTATTTACCTGCTCTTGTTTGTATATCGCTTTCCAAATTGCAATATCATTATATTCGAATTTTTATCTAAAGGGGTCTCTAGTTGCGACGAACTTAGACAAAATCAAAAATTAATCAATGGCGGATCTTACAAGTTCAAGACTTCAACCGCTTCATCTGTCCAATTCAATACTTGTAAATGGGGTAAGGAGCGCTATGATTTTCACTGTAATTTTACTGCTCTATTCGTGTTCCAACATACATTTCAATAAATTGAATATTCTTGCACAGACCTATTTACATGCCATGATCTCAAAGAGTTTAAAGAAGATTATCAATCGGGATTTTATCGTCTGGGAATGGATGGTGACCAGTACGACGTGTATTGCAACTTTGCCTCAGACCAAGGTTTACACATAAGTATTTTGCTCACTTTTTTATAAAACTGTAATGAGGGCTCAATGTGAATCAAAGGAAAAAACCTTAAACAAAGACAAAAAGTTGTATTCGAATTGGTATTGTCAAAAAACTCACTGTGAACTTAATGTTACTATAAAAAATTTATTGGCCATTCAGTCATGACTTTCGAAAAAGCAACCAAATGCAATTCTGGACGTCTTGTATATGTCTTCACTTGTATCTTGAAAAATGGGCATATTTTTGGATTCCATTATCTGATTCATCGATAAAGAGTAAATTTATTTTGGTAATTTTTATATATGAACAATTTACAGAGATTATAAAACAAATTGGATGTTATAGAAGAGTTCAATATACGCGTTGTAATGATGATCGATTCCAATGGTGTGGCAACTTTTGCAGGGATTTAGAAATTTCGAAAAAACATGAAAAATAAATAATTTAATAGAAAATAATGAAAGATCATGCTTCGAAGCTTAAGCCGAAGTTCAAAAACAGAACTATAAAACAGTTTTCTCCAACATCATTTCAACCATAACACAACTTTTCTCATCCTCAGCTTTCTCCTCGGCGTACTAAGAATCCACATTTTAACATTTACCACTTATTTCCATATTATTAATCCTGTGTTTGAAGTTGTTACAGAAGTATGGCATGATTCTATGCAAGAACTTAAAGCAGAATCAAATTGTGATACACGAGGTTGCTACAGATTTGTTCCCAAATATGGAATAAATCAACGCCATATTCTTAAAATTATCGATAGTTCATCGGAGTGTAAACAGTTTATCAAGGTATATTGTTACAGTTGTATGGTGGCCCATCGTTGTCACGTGTAAAATTTAAAAAAAAAATGAAAAAATAAAATGAAAAAGCGAAAATAAAAAAATAGTTGTGAAAAAACATAAAAATAATTGAAAAAAAAGAAATAAAAAAAATTTAAATTAAAAAAAAAATTGAAAAATAAAACAAACAAAAAATTAAAAAAAAAATTGAAATTAAAAAAAAAAAAAAAATTTGAAAAAAAAAATTGGATAAAAAGAAAATAAAAAGGTTGACAACGATGGTCCGCCTCGTGGCCCATCGTTGTCACGCGTTTTTATTTTTAGAAAATTCGATGCTGCTTGGGACCAACGTTGTCAGACTTAATCCTACACGCACAAATGTGTTTCCTGGGTTTCTAACTCACTACTGATTTTCATGACCAATATCCAATAAATTCAACATGAAAATGTTCTACAAATTCTCCATGCTACAAGTTCAACCACAAGCAATATATTTATAATAAGGATAAGAGAATATAGAATTGGATACGAAAATTTGTTTTTACGTGTAGAAGGTAATTTAATTGGAAAATGCTGCTTAACTGCTCAGACACTCGTGCGATGCCGGTACGGTATCGTCTGACCGTACCGGTACCCATGCAATCACTCGTGAAAGAATGGGAGATGATGATTGTATGGCTACCGGTACGGTCAGACGCAAAGCGACTATAACCGACTACCGGTATTTGGTAAGACGGTACGGTACCGGCATCGCGAGTGTCCAGCCAACTGAGTAGTTAAGCAGCATTCTCCAAATTACCTTATACACGTAAAAACAAATTTTCTGAATTTTCGTATTCAATTCTATATTCTCTTATCATTATTATAAATATATTACTTCTTGTTGAACTTGTAGCATGGAGAATTTATAGAACATTTTCATATTGAATATTGCTCAAGAAAATCAGTAGTGAGTTTGAAACCCAGGGAACACATTTGTGCGCGTAGGATTATGCCTGACAACGTTGGTCCCAAGCAGAAGCAAATTTTCTAAAAATAAAAACGCGTGACAACGATGGGCCACGAGGCGGACCATCGTTGTCAACCTTTTTATTTTCTTTTTATTCAATTTATTTTTTTAATTTTTTTTTTTTTATTTATTTTTTTTTTTCGTTTTTATTTATTTATTTTTTTTTAATTTTAATTTTTTTTTTTCATTTTTTTTTAATTATTTTTATGTTTTTTCACAAAATTTTTTTTATTATCGGTTTTTTATTTTATTTTTTATTTTTATTTTCAATTTTACGTGTGACAACGATGGGCCACCATACAGTTGGACTCAATCTAACGTGAATACATAGTTTTTTCATATTTAAATTTTAGTGATACTGGTCTTCATTTTTTATTTTTTCCTACTGCTCCTAAGCTCCCATTGGACGATGTTTCAACTACAGTTTTTCTGAGTTGTACAGTATTGAACAACTCTGACTTGGATTCTTCAAAATTAAAAATTATTCTGATAAATCATTTCCAATTATGACAAAACTTATATTATTCTGTTTTGTATTTTTATCAGATGAAATGTCAGGGGTCAGTTTTATTTCACAACGGTGATCCATATGCGTGGTGGATTTCTCGAACCGGAGAGAAAATGCTTTACTGGGGAGGAGCCACATCGAAAAGAAAACATTATTGTGCTTGTGGAGAAACAGGTCAGAAAATAATGTCAATAAAATGTACTTTCAATAACTTCATTTTTCACATAATTTTCCATTTCTTAGGAACCTGTGTAAAGTCTTCACATCGATGTAACTGCGACAATAACTCCGAAAATCTTGTCACTCAAGATGAAGGTTACATCACTGACAAATCCAAACTACCGGTACAGGAGATAAAATTGGGAGACATAGGCGGGGCTAATGAAAAGGCGTGGCATCGTCTCGGTAAACTGGAATGTATTGGAAAATGTGAGATATGTATGAGTATTTAATTTGTATATATTTTACAAACAAGTGCTTTGTATTGTATTTTTTAATCTCAATGTTCACACGGACATATCATTTTCTTATCTTGCAGCTTAATTTGTGATCACCAAGGCCGGAACACAACTGAAAGTGCATCGTTTGCTTATGTGTTTATACTCTAACAAGAGCTCAGATCAAAAAGTTAAAACAAAGATAATGCATAAATTTCGTCAGAATTTGCTTTAGTTAAAGATGTAATAGAATTTGATCAAAATAAAAATTTTTCAAAGATGCATCGATACCAAAAATACATCTTAAGTAAATTTTAGAGGCAAGAAAAAAAAGAGAAAAACGCTATGGTTTTAGATCAGAGGTGACGAACCTGCGGTCCGCCAAGAACTTTCGTGCGGCCCACGAAGCATTCAGGCAATTCAGTGTATGTTTGGCGTAAAGTCACAAACCTCCAAGAACTGTACAAAGAGAACGGTAGCGCAAGTGTTATTCATATTACTGGCAACAACACTGTTTCCAACACATCTATTTTTTTGGATCATCGATACCTCTAACAATGGATCAAAATGGCCATTGGTCGTACAATAGTTACGCTCTCTTATCGGCAAACGCATACGGTTTAATAGAGAAGGAGTAATCTCACTTTATGAAAATGTGATATTTTGCACGATACACGTGATATTTGAAAAATTTCATCACTAACGCAAAAATGTGAAATTTGAAAAAAAAACAAAAAAAAAAGTTCTGAAATAACAAGTAACTACCCAGTTGCGGTTCGGGTTAGGAATGATTTGAGGTTTTGAATTTCCGACGCAATATGAGCCCCCACCTACCCTAAACACGTATATAATTGAATTATTTATAATTTACATTTAAGTTTGAGCGGAGGCGGTGTTTTTTTATGAGAGATCTTTGTACAAAGGATCCCGATACTGATAATACTTTTTTGAGGCATTATCAACTAAAATTTTGCATGTTAACGCGACACAAAATGTCATGAAGGAAGATTCGACAATGCGTAGGTTGAAATTACCATTGGGGGAAAGGTAACCAATCCGAAAATTTTTATGCATATTTCGACGCAATTAGGCAGGCCCATACACTTGTGAAATGAGCCCACTTTTTCGACGGATAATGTTTTTTACTGTTATGTTATGTTGTCGGTTAGCGATTTTGCAGTTGCGCAAAGTATTCTATTTGCGACCAATAGGAGTCTATTTGTAATTTATTGCTTTCTCACTTTAATTGTGTGTTTAATGTAACATGCGGCTGCGTCGACAAATTGAGAACATTACTATGATGAAATATCACATCAATCCACGGCCATAAAAAGTGTTCCCAACTGCCCGATTATATTTAGTTGTGATTCATATTTTTGCGATAGTACGAATTAGTTATACAAATATGATTTTCTTGCATCACTGACTGTCGCTATCACAAGATATTTATATCAACGTCCGAGAAATCCCTAGATCTGCTATAAAATATCAAAGACTACAGTTTATTTCAATCTGTACATTAAAAATTGATTTTGCATTAATACGCCGGTAGTAGACTCAAACTTTCGTGTTAAAAATGCTGCGGTATTCGAATGGGAATTCGGATCTTGAACCTCGGAGCCGAGCGTTTATATTGCATTATATAATTGAATTACATCAGCTGTATGGATGTCGTTGTTTGTTTTGTAGATTAAAATCAACAGGTATCGTTACGGTAGTACGAATAAAAATTGTGCGGCCTGCTCACTCAGCGGTGACTGATAAAGTGGCCCGCGACAGCAAATGGGTTCGTCACCCCTGTTTTAGATGGAAAAATTGAAGATTTTTTTGCAGACAGCGGCGTATCTCGGGTATGGCAGCCATGGCTCATGCCCAGTAGTGGGATTCAGCCGGTTCGCACCGGTTCTATAGAACCGTCTCACGTAATTTTATGAGATCAGCGAATTGGTTAGCATTACATGACTTTTTGTAACAGAACCGCCTAAAAATATGACATTTGTGTGATGGAACCGGCTGATAATAATTTGAATCCCACCACTGCTCATGCCATGCTCGCCGTTTGGACAGGGCAAAAAGTTTCAATCGTTAAATGTTTCAATAAAATAATTTTTAAATTGAAAACAATTAAAACTCGTATCTTTACCTAAAAAATAACGTGGCTCATTAAATATCTCGATTCAACAATAGCCGGTATAATTGTCAACCAATGATTAAGGAGGGCACATTTTTGAACTGCCATGGGCGCCAATTTACGTGAATACGCCACTGGTCACTTCAAATGAAACAGTTTACGACTGAGGTTTGCATTTTTATTGTATTCAAGATGCATTTACCTTGTGCAGCCTTACAAATAAATTAAAGTACTAAAAAAATTACTAAATCAAGTTGTACTTTCTGGAAAATTTTTATAGCAAATACCGGTAATAGGATTTTTCAAACGGCCCTAACAAATTCGCAAGATCGCAAAATATGTATCAAAACTTAAATATAATCGGGCAATATATTCTCACATTATTATGTTCGCAGATTGCCGTTGCATTTTAAAGAAGTAATGCTTTCATTTTGTCGTAAGTCGACGCAACCGCGAGTTACCATGAACACAATTAAATTAAAATAGGAAGACATTTTGAATTCTCGTTGTTGTCATGGATTGAATATTGTGCGACAGAAAAGGCCGATATACACTAAAAAAGTTGGCTCTTTTAACGAACGCGTAATTGCAGCGAATTCACGATTTTAAAATTCGTTAAAATTTTGTTTTGTCTGGTTTTATTGTTCTTCACAGAGTACGATTGCAAAAACGCACCTTGAGTCCGCAAAGGTTTTCGCCGGTGAGAAAATAGTCCTCGACCAAAAAAGGTTTGGAAACGCTGGATTAGAGTAGGCTATTTAAGCACTTTTTTCGTGGATACCGATATCATGTGAGTGGTCGCGAATGAATATATATGGAAATAGTATTCAGAGATAATCATATTTTAACTGTGTCAATAGCCAAGTCAAATTATCAGAAGCACCTGAATATCGATATCTACGATTCAGCTGCAGAGATGATGTGTCATTGCTACGGGTTTGGTAAATTACTTAATTGCATCTTAAAAGGTATATTATAAACTGTGTACGTGCGTAGAGAAGGACCTCGGCCCTCGTAGAATATTATGAATGTATGTCGAATGAAAAAACTCACGGGGTCTCTCACTCTGTGGCGTTGCGACCCAGTGCTGGGTCTTGTGGATAAATCCAGTGGCGGCACGTTGCTGTAGGGCGCAGAATGTGCAAAACGTTTTAAACGAACAAAGACAGTCACATCAGTTTATTTTTCAGAAAGACTTAAACGACCTAAGATAACACTGATCAAAGTTAAGCCAAAATTTTACACAAGTTATGCTTCTAAACTAGTTTGCAACTTTTTTAGATTGTGACTCACTAGGTGGTATCTGTGACGGTTTAATGATACTCTTGCTGTTGAGGTATAATTGAATGTCGGTTGTAACTTGTAAGCTATTGTTGTGTTCAGTCAATTTAGCTTTGGTAGTTAAGTTTAGATTAGTTTTCAGTTTATTCCACTTTCGCGAGGAGACAAGAAGGGAGCGTGAGGTCAACAGTCACATTTACCATCTGTCCGTGGTAGATGGACGGGATTCTTCCATCTTCATGTGGTAGATGAGTGTAAGAGATGTTGGAGGGCGGCATTTCGTGCAAAATCTATGGGCGGTATATTGCGTTGCTACGCCACTGCTGAGTCTCACTATGTACTCATCACTATGTCCAATTTATAAATCTTCACCTTTTCTGTGAAACCAAGGTCCAATTATCTACAAAACAGAAAATATCTTATAAAATAATAAACGATTAATCGAACTATATGTATTTATGAACTATTACAGTTTTACTATTCCGCACTGTCTTTGCATTTGTAGATAGGAAAATATTGTCTGCCTGAATTTTCTTCTGCTTATTGGACACGAAATGCGCATATGGTCATTTTGTTACTATGTTGTTATTATATTATTATTGTTCGTGTTATCGTTGTTGTAAAAATCGCCTTTCTCTTCAATATACTAGACCAATTGCTTTGAAATTGTCAGTGGTGAAAGATTGTATTTTTCGCTAGAAGGCTATTGCTTTTTTTATTTATTTCAACATTTTCTGTGGGCTTTATGGAATTTGTTTTTTGTGTGCTTTGGCGTCGTCCAAATTAAAAATTGCGGACCTTGTGGCGGTTCCTCCTCTTTCGTGTCAGTGAGGCGAAGTCGTTACTACTGTGGTACCTGTATAGTCTACTGTGACAGAATTCATGCCTGTACTACTCCGTTTTGGTTTTCGTGTCCTTATATATATTCGAGAATCGCACTTTTGTTTCTTAGCGTTTCGTTGCATCTATTGCGCATCCTGGAGTAGTGAAATATGGTAAAAATCGCAGAATGTTTTCTTCAACATGACGTGGATATTTAGGCCGTGAACATCGGGATAATTACATATGCAAATTATATTTCCGCAAGGTTTCCCTAACTCACAAGAATACCCTTGGACATGTGCCAGAAGACTTCGATAAAGAGGTTTTTATCGTCCGGAACTGTGCGTGAAGTGTGAAAAACTCGTTATTAAGAAAGTGAATATCATAAGATATATATATATATATATAACGGGAAAACCATAAATTTTGATATAGGAGTGCCGCGACAGATTGCGACTTATTGTGATGATAATGTAAAATGTAAATTTTATTGTCGACCTTGGGATTTTGCTAACGGCGATATTTGAAAATAATCGTGAGCGGCTCAAATTTAACAAATTACCAAGATCGGAAAAAGCGAATCAATTCTTATTATAATCGGGCATTATGCCATATATTATTATGTATACGCCTATGTCAGTATTTCAGAGAAATAATACTTTTATTTTATTGTAAGTAGACGCAATGGTGAGTTACGTAGAAAATAATTAATTTAATATGACAAATTAATTTAATATGACAAAATCATTTTTGACAAAGTATACCAGTTAATTCTTTCGTTTCTAACATCTTATTTGGTAGAAACGGGATCATCAAATCACAGAATGATGATGATTTGTGATTGTACCTGACTAATTGTTTTCAAATATTAAAAAAATGTGTTGAAATTTATCCATCTTAATAAAAACATTATGCACCATAATTAGTTTATTCGTTTCATGGATTTGCAACAAATCAGTTTGTAACTTCATGTTTTGTTGTAATGTTGTAAGGGGGGCGATGATAACATAAAAAGTACTGCAAGGGGGCGTAGGT